TTGAGTATACAAAGATTAAAGGTAAAATATGTCTGACAAAACCTAAGCAAGTTTTTGTACCTCATTTTTTTCATTGTTTTTTAAATTGACTGTTTTGTTTCTGAAATTTTGCTTTTTAATCTTATGAGAATTTCTTCTCTCATTATTTTATGCTTTATTATTGAGAACTTTAAATTAAGATGAGCTTTGCCAACGTGTTTTTACGTATTGCTGGAGTAGCTTTATGATGACCTCAACTCTTTGTTTCCACTTTGCGATTTCTTCATTTTTTTCCCTCCTGTTTTCGATAGGACCGTTGTTTATCCGTAGGAGTGTGTAGGAATGTCTGTTCTATAGAGATGTTTATATGAATGCAGAATTATTCGCAGATAATAAACTCTTATTATTGGAATCATTGCTCATAGTGTAACTATTAGGTATGAAGAAGCAGTGATAGATAACGGAAAGTAAATAAATGATAGTGCTCTTTTTCAAATAAATTTCAATGATCTTGCTCAACTTACAGCTTGAAACTGCCTCTTTATCTCTGCAGATGTTCTGCTTCTACTGCTCAAATTGGCATTCAAAGCTTTGATGCTGCTTTTTTTACGATTAAAATGCTAATAAGAATTAGTTGTAACAAAATCAAATATGCTGGATTTTAAGCAGACTATCTAAAACTGTAATTAACAAATAATTTGCCAAAAAATGAAAAAAATGAACATTACAAGAAAGGAACGTAAAAAATACAATGAGTAATTGGTAGGTATTTCCAGCATCAAAGAGGATTACCCCACATACGGTTAGTTAGCCTTCATTAAGACTTAAAGTAATGTATGTAGTTATAAAAGTTTGTAAACGCAACTAAGTTGTTTTTTTATTTTCGTAGCCCGTTTTACGTCTGCTGACAGTGTTTGATCAAACAGTCATCAAAACTCGCCTCTTAAAATCCAACTTCTCTATAAACTACCAAGGACTTGTTCGCTATATACGATGGTTCCATATGAGATTTTGGGATTCCAGCATTTGCGCAGACAAGCACCTAAGTAAGAACGCTGATAACTGAAGGCTTCTAAAGATTTTTAAACTCCAAAGGATTTTGTAAAGTTGCAAAATGAAAATTTAGGAGGAAGATTACAGTTTGTCCTTACCCTATTAAATTCATGCATCATTTTTATAACTGCGCAGTTTAATTTGTAGTTTATAAATCGTCGTGCGATCTGAAATGATCCGTATCGATTAAGCCAACCCAAATCAGCAAATCATATCAGCTTATTCTTTATTCAAGACTAGAGTAGCTAGGCATAAGAAAACCTTATGAGCTTTTGTTTCAACATCGTCTGTTACCATTAACATTTTGAAGATAACAACTCCTGAAACAAATTTTGTTAACAACTTTTGTTGCCCCACATCCTGCTCGAAAAGTTGTTAGCGAACGGTCATAAATGCTAGGTTATCTCTTGCTAAAATAAAACCCTTAGGTAAGGAGCCAGTTATAAAGAAATCTTCAAAGACAAGTATTTTTCTCAGTCAAACTAATAACAGCATTTATTTCTTTGGTACAAAATTCGAAAATATGGCATAAAAACTAACCGTTTTTGCTTAACACTTCCCTGATATTCCTGATTGTGTCATTGGTGATGAAAGTGGTGCTTGGGCAAAGGATAACTTTTTCCATCGGATATATAGTTGGACAAGCGTCGATGATCACCACGTCGTACTTTTCTCCTAAACATTGCTCCTAAACTCAGCAGTTATGTAATAAGAATTATAAATAATCATGAAAAGTCTGAACAAAGACTTGTGCCAGTGAGCGTTTTAATGTTTCTTATTTTGGAACTAACTAGAAGTTCAACAAAGCTGTTATAGACTACCGTTCTTCGAAGCATTTTCAATGTATTTGACACCATCCATAACTATCGTTTTTTGGTGGTCATCATCTACCAAACCGAAATACTTGTGAGCTACCTCTACCATTGTTTTTTCAAGTTCAACAACCGTAATATTCATCTAAAAAATACTTTTCTACTGAAAAATTTGGGAAGAAATAACTTCCTGTTTGGGAGTAAAATTTTTTACTGAACGTAAGCGAAAATTACAGAAGCGCTATTAAAAGAATAAAAAGCTTTGATTTAATTCTTTTATTGTTTGTCTTTTCAAGCTTTTACACAGAATGCTAAAGTCAGACATGAACAGTTAATTTTTTATTTTGAATCAATGAAAATCAGTGTACGTTAGGAAACTTATGATGGAGGAAACTGTTCATTTGTCCGCCGCCGAGACCCACAATAAGGACATTTGATGTACTATTTAGCGAAGTGGACAAGGAGCCGATAGCAAATGGAGCTGCTAATAATGACCTTAACCCAAAATGCACTACTGAATGGTCGACTTTTAGCCTTCTAGTATCGTTTTTGGTATAGTCGAAACCTTCAGCGATGATTATTATTAAAGCTTTCCTTAATACATTCTCACTCACTTAGAAGGTAGTATTTATTCAGCACCGGTTTTTTCAGCAGCAAACTTTTCGGTAATGATAAAAAAATGCTAATTGCTCAACAGACCTGGTGGCAATGTGAGAAAACTTTCTGTAATAATAATTTCGTTTCTGTCTCGGTTCAATATTCGTCTCTTTATAATTGTAAGACTGAAATAATGAACATTTGCTTGTGATAAACTTGGCCAAAGGTAATTACCATTAAAAAATATGCATAAGCACTTTGTTTCGTTTTCTAAAATGTGGCCTAATATACTGCCCAAAGCTAGCAATTTGTGCTGGCCATTCTTCCAGGTTTTTTAGAATTGTAGTATAAGCATAGGGTGAAATTGGTACAACTCACTTTAGGGAAGGATAGTTTAGTATTATGTCGAAGACAGAAAGATTTGCCAATGAAGTTGGGAATGTCGTAATATTTTTGATATCAACTATCATTTGAAGATCGGGATTTTCCTGATTCTGTTCTTTGATGACGTCGACAAGACTAGCCTAAAACGACAGAGCAGTAAATGTTACGCAACAGGTTGTGGAGAACTGTTTTATCAGAAGGTTTTATAAAATGGTGAGAAACTAACATTACCACTCAGAACTGGGTGTACCAATAAAGTCAACAAGAAGATCATTGCTGCATACTTTACGTATTGGGCAGCAAAAAGCAGATTACAGTTCTGTTGGTGCAAGGGTTTCTTTACTGAGACCGCTATTGTTTTTTAGCTTTATTGCGTCTTTGCTGGTTCTGAGAGATGACGTTATGTGTTGCGCTGTAAAGAAATTAAAAGTGATGCAGCGAAATTGGTGCAAGAAATTAGACAACTTCAAGTGGTGATATAAATATTGCAGGCTTTTGTTTATTTTTACTTCTTGAGCAGCTAATTGAACTAGATATAGATTAGAGATGTTAGTCAAAGTATGTTATTTAAGTTGAGTGAGAGGAATGAAAACTGATGCTGATACTATTAATAAATACGGTATAAAAAGTAAAAACAGAATAAAGTGAAAAACAATCGATAAAAATAACCAAAACTTTTTTTTTATAACAGATCAAACAATTTGTCACTGAACTATGATTGATTTCAAAGTCATTTCAAAAGGTAAGAAAGAAAGTTCTTCTTACCTTTTGTTAGGCTACTTTAATCAAGCTGAGATTACGCCTTTGTTACTATTTTCACTCCATTACCAACTTAATCTGTAAGAAACCCAAAACAGTAGACGAGTTTAATGGTTGGTGATTAGAATATTTAATCAGAATAGTAATTGCCAGAAAAAACAATGACCTTTGAAGAAGCAATAGTGAACTTTTAGGAAATTAACGATGGCAGTAGGATAGTCTAAAACGGGTATCGAGTAGAAAAATAATTACTTGTTTTAATGATCACTAATATATAAACAAAACTTGATCAAAAGGTATTTGTTGGCATATTTATATAAACAAGTATCAATTTGGTACCGAGAAAATTTTAATAAAAGTAAGTTGGTAGCATCGAATGGACCAAAAAGGCAGTTTTTACTGCAACAAAACAGAGTAAATAGCAAAGACTACAAGAATGTTCAGTGTTTAATTCAAAAACATAGACAAATATTTTGCTATTATCTTCAAATTCTCCACACACTTTTGCTATCATCTACTGCACTTGCTTTAAGAAGTTCAGCAAATTTAAATTTATCTCTTACACTAATTCTTCGTTTATGTGTATGTTTTTCAGTATTTGTGCGTAATAAGGGGACTGAATTACAAGAAAAGAGTAGTTTTTGCCTCTAATGAAGAGCGTACTTTGATTTTTAGTAGTGCTGCTCTATGACGCCAGATCTAACACTTCGATCAAAGGTTCCTCACAAATTTTGTAACTGAAATTTTTCAGTTTTTATTTTTATTTTTTTATTTTTTTTTTTGCTGTGAAAAAGTGCTGAAGGTGAGAAAAAAAGAAGGCAGAGATAATACAAAGGGAAAGGTTGAACCGGGTGAAACTGGTTGTTTCTGGCTGTCAATTTTCGTAATGTTCATAGAGTGCAATTATTGCATTTATCGAAAATATATACGAGTCGTCAATAACTCGTTATTTCATTTTTAACCACTCAGTAGAGATAGAAAAGAAGCCTTATCCTCAAATTCTTCAGAATAAAACTTTTTCAAAGAAACTAGGCAAATTTCAAGTTGTTTGCTTAACAACTTTGTTTTTACAAAGTCGTTTTCAAATCTATTTTTCCGTCACTCGTTCAGACCAAAGGAAAAGATCAATGGTATGCGTTGCAACAATTGAGCTCATGAAGGCTCGACAAGTAGGTAAGTATCGGGTGATATAAATCTGTGTATTACAAGCTTCAACCTCTGAAAGTTTTTATATTTTCAAGTCATTTATCAAAGATATCTGTAAGGTAATGCAAATATATTTTACAAAAGTATTTCTTGAGCTTACCTGCAAATTTTTTATTGAAAAAGAACTGAATACAGACAGAATAATTTTCCTGACTGCATTCTGATAAATACTGGTGCCGTAGGCAGTGAAAAAATAGGTGATTCAGGCAAAAACGTTTATTTAGTTATCTTTTCCTCGAATAACAAAATCGTTTTTTTTTTTTTTGTAGCTATTGTCAATGTCTGTACAGGTGAAAAAAGAATCTTTCGTAATTGTCGGCTACAACCAAGTGAAAAAATTATTTCAAAAATTTGGCTTGACTGGCAGAGCTAAAAATGCAACGATGTCACTGACTGCGAAGTTCGGCAGAAACCAATGGTTTTTTGCAATCAAGCCCGTTTTCTTCATCTTTACCAAACAGCCGAATCTATCTGAAAAGCAAGTACAAATTTTAAATTCGTCTTTAATATCTTTAATAATGGTCCTCCGTCGAATTTTAACCTGCTTACTTTTCAAAATTAGGGATCATATCGCTTTGGTTCTTGCGCCCTATTGTCAATTCAAAAATCATTCCTAGCGTTACCGCGGAAGCGAATAGCAGTCAACCAAAAAGAGAAAATAGAGTTTTGGCAGCTGTGATACTAAAGGTATCGGAGCCATCAAATTAGTTTGTTAGAACAACAACGTTGCAGCCGGATTTAAACAGCAGGTTTGACTGCTGTTGCCTGAAGTCTAGCTCTTGTACAGCAGAATCGAAAAGAAGAAATTCAAAAAGGTTCATTGACAACTGCCTTCTACCAATACGATTTTAAGACAACGTTTCTTACCTAATTCTAAACAACTTTTCTGTAAAACGAAAAAATTCTTCCTTCAGTAAAAGCCTTTGTATTGGTGAAAACTTCAGACTTGGGGTTTTTACAGAAATAATTTTGGTGAATGCAATGACGATCCAATATCAATGTGTTCCATGTACTTTTCCATGTTACATTCATTCCTTCTCCATTTTCTATGCTGACTTGTTTAAAAAGACAGGCAGCACCGCTTAAAATATTTTATATGTTGCTCTCGAATGCTAGGACTAAATTATAATTTTGTCTGTTAATTCATTACTGTTTTATAGGGCTTTTTTCCTCTTGAAATTAAATACTTGTACAGCAAAATTCACCTCTGTTGTTGTACGTCTAGTAGAATTTGCTCACAAAACGAGTTTGTTTTCGAGCTTTCCTGTTTTTGCGCTGGACAGTTTCAAAAGAGGGGAGAAATATTTATATTGAGGAATAGAAATATTCTATTCATGAAAGCGCCATGATAAAAGTGGAAGGCTAATGAACGCTTTCTGAAGAGAAGCTTTTTTGGGAGGAGAGGATCACAAAACAGCCGCACGGGTCCAACACAGGATCATAAGTGGTAAGTAGAGAAGTTGAGCCTTTAGGAAATTATTTTTGCTTTTTTTCTTTCTGAATTAGATTCTGACTACGCTTTTTACAATTCCGCTTAGTACTAATTCCTCTTTCGCTTTCTTTTTCTAGTTCAGTTCTCTTTAAAAGTTGGAATTTTAGAATTTGCTAGTAAGTTGACTTATTGTTTTCAGTTCCCTGAAATTATTTATAGGACTTGTTTTGCATTTAACTGCTTTTTTACCTTACCTTTTAGGTTCGGTTGTCCATAAATTCTAATATTTTTTGTAATGGTTCTTGTAAATATTTCACAAGATTGCTCAATAGTTCTGCCTGGTTTTTTTTTCACAGAGAGTAAGGAATTTAGTTACTTATTAAGTATTCGTCTTACATAGCGCTGCATATTTCTGATCGCTGTGTCTTTTGCTAGTTGTACGTGAATAGAAACTACTGTTGGCATGAACGAGCAGCCGCTGTAGTTGATATTCTCAGTATGGTAAAGATCTTCAGGTAGGGTTTTAGGGCTAAACTGTTTGGAATCTTTTAAGTATTGTGAAGAAGTACGATACTAGTTGATAGTTAGTACTGTAAAACGGTAAGGGTTACTTTCCTTCGCGGCAAGAGGGAAAAGACACAGATGCTAATACGGAGAAACTAGAAAAACAGCTACAGTAGCTGTCCTTTAATTCAGAAAAGCATTGGTCAGCCTTGACAACATATTTGAACAGTCCTTAAAAAAAATTTTTTTTGTGTCGAAGACCCGACGCATTGCGAAATAGGCACTATCGTTTCAAAATTTTCATTTTCTCGTAGTTGTAAGTGCCCCTCACAGTTAGTTTAAAAAGGAAAGCTAGACATGACAAAAGAAAACTGAATACAACAGTATAAATTTTTTAATTCCTCTTTCAAACTGTCAATGGTTCTCATTATAATCTTACATCCTAAAATAAAAAATAGTTACTCGTTCTTTAAAAATGGCTTTGAAGATAAAATGACCATTTTAGTTGCTTATGGTCAGCATCCTTAACGCTACTAGTTTAGCACAACGAATAGTGTAAAGAATTGCTGCCTTTGCTAACGAATAAATCTCCTAAATTGAAGAAAAACTGCTGCAGTTGTTTCTATTTTTGTATGCCCGTAGGGGTGGTCTTTGTTCCAGTACGCTATTGCTGGGGATTAATTAGTTTTTACAATCAGCATCATCTGCCACAAGACTAGTTCAACCCTAAGTTATAATTATTTTATAGATTTTTGACATTCTTCAGTCTTCAACCTTTTTTTGAGGAACACTAAGATACTACCGATCACTACCGACTTCTCTAATGGCGATATTCCTTATTCAGGAAAAACTGGTAACTCGTGAAGCAAGTAAAGCAATGCAATTTGACGCCCAGTAAAAATGATGACTAGTTTGGTACTAAACCTTTTTCTTCTTTAGAACAAACCTTAAAAATCACAGAAATATTTATAAGGGCTTTTCCAAATATAACTCAGGTTGAGATAATGAGCAGATTTGCGAAAAGTCTGCTCTCCTTTTCGTTAATTAGTTTTCTTGCGATATTCTTATTTTCCACTCTGCTACTTTTCTTGCCGGATGTTACAAAACCATAATGTTTAAAGAAGGGAGCTGAAAATAGTTCTCACAATCTTCTTGAATCGCTGAGATAAAGTTTGCGGTAAGGTAAGATAAATCTTTCGCTCTCAAAAATCTAGTTGAACTGCAATTTCATTTGAAGTAACTCTAATTCCATAAACGCTCTTTTAATACAGTCAATAATCTCGTGCTTCACCATTCAAAGACGTAACAAATTTCCATACAGTTCAGGTAATAATCTTGGAGTACGATATAGACTTCTTTTCAAACCTAAAACATTCTTACTCGACTTTGCGGCTGCAACTCTCTTTTCCAATGTGTTTTTTGGAGTAATTGCTAGAAAATGTGATAAACAAGATACATTATAACTGAGCTCATTTATGGGAACTTTTAGTTTTTTTTACATTTTCTGGTTTTGACTTCTTTCTGTCCGAAATAGCATGATGTGAGTCAATTTCTGTTACGGCATTTTAATAATTTTTGTCGTCCGCCAGAGTTTGTAAATGACTGCAAATCTGCACTCTGACTTCCAGACTCTTCCACCGATCAGTTACAAAGAAAACTTGCCTCAATCATGGTACACGTTGGATTCAGTTCAGCGCCATTTAAAAACTCTGGCGAACGACAGAAATCATCAAAATACCGTAGCAGAAATCGAGTTAAAGCTACTTTTCGAAAATTTGAAACAATTTTGCAGAGCAAAACGACAAGATCTTCAGTGATATGTATCTGATTTTCGGCAACTTATCAAGGAAACAGTTGCTGATAGACTGTCAGCTCAAACCATTATCACTTCGGTCAATATCAATAAAGCTCTATCCGGAACACGCAATGCGACAATGTCCACTGAACCGTTGCTACCGGAGACAATAGAAGTCCCTTGCAGAGTAGATTCAACTACCATGTGTGCTCTTTTTGAGGATCGCCAGTACAAGGATCAGCGTCCGGAACGTAAATCTATCAAGGAACATCAAGCGTGAGAAACTCAAAGCGGTTATACTTTTATTTTCTAAGACCAAGCCACTCCACTAAGAACTGCAAAGCTTGATTAGAACCATGCTTCACTGCGAAGACAACCATTCAATAACATTATGCACTAAAAAGTGCTGTGACTTGATTAAGCCAATATCAAGAATGAGCACGCATACTTTAGCGCCAAGCAACGACAGCAACTTGGGAGAACAAGAACGCATGAATACAACGACAGCGCACTCCAACTCAACTTCACCTAACTCTCTAGAACCAAAAATTCTCATGTGTCGCGAAACGCAAACATACAATCCACAAAACTTTTATCTTTTTCCGGATGCACTTCTATTTTCCGACTCTGGCAGTGAGAAGTTGTCTATGGACAAAACGTTAGCAACGGTACTGAACCTACCATGAGCAAAGGCTCGAAATTCATCCGTTTTTAAATTTGCATCTCTTGGACAGACAATAGTGCTATCACGAAAGAAAAACATTATAATGAAATAATTAGATGCAAGCATAAACCGCTAAAGTTAGAATCAGTTCCACATCTTATGCTCGGTCGCCACACCCTACCAGCTGATGAGATACCGGCAGACGTAAACGAAATATTGAGAATCAGGTGCGTAATTATAATACCACAATATCTTAACTGGCTTCGATTACTTCCTTCACTTCTGCCGCAACATACAGAAGTCGCGAACGGCTTCTTTTTAATCCATACTCAAGTAAGCCCATTAGTGAGCCAGGCTGATGGTCCAGACGGCTTGAACACTTTCAAAAATGTCATTGGTGGACAAGAGTGTAAACTTGAATCGTTTCTGGAGTCTTGACACGATTGGCATGACGGACACCACATCAGGAATTGACGATGGTGCGGTATATCAAAATTTTGAAAAAACCGTTACTAAGGATACCTCGGGACTGTACGTTGTCTCTTGGCCTTGTCGTCATACGAGCAAGCAGCTCTCTAATAATTATACCATGCGCCTGGCAAATCTGAAAATTTGCTGAATCGCCAGAGGCAGTGTCAAGGCCTACTACAACACCTCAATCCCCTTGAGGGCAAAACGAGCACATGATAAAGAGCTTCTCATATACGGGCGTTTCAAGGTATATATAAGCAGGGGTAGGAGCTGCAGCAGGACGCTGTAATTTAAGCTTAGTGACATCATTAGGCTGACGAACGCAGATGAAGATCGGTAAACGTCTGACGATAAGGAATTCAAAAGTAGTGAAGACTGGTTTTTCTCTGCAACCATCAAAATGGTGAAGGAAACTGAAAACTTCAATAGCTAATATGGAATATCGTCAGTAACTGGATCAAAAGGTTCTGGAGAATGTGCAGTCAGATTTGGGATTGACACAGTAAATGCAGGATAGATTGAAGGAAAACAAAGAACGATAGTGGCCTTCAGTTGTTACGTTCTTATTCAACCTATGCGTGATGTGATATCCAAGAATGTATCACGAAAGCTGAGTGTGAAAGCATTTACTAAAGTAAAAAAGAAAAGCAGGGGAAATTGCTACAAACAGAACTGAACAGATTCGAAATATAAGAAAACTGTAAGCATAAATAGTTCCAGTGAACTTAGGGGCCGACGTAATAGATGGAAGTAAAAAGCAGGCGAATAGACAGAGTAGACGCAGCTAGGCATTTAATTAACAAGGACTCCCTGAATACTAATGAACAGTTTGTGTGTAAGCACCTCAAAGTGACTTCAGATAACGCGATAACTGGTTGATTTGTGACTGCAGTAATACCTTTCAGATGGACTTTTAGGTGCGGAGTAGCTGATATCTAATACTGTTTTAGAACCTCATCTTCAGATCTTTGTTATTTAAGTGTCTGTTTTTATTCAGTTATTTTTAACCAGTCATTCTCTTGTAATAAATTAGAGTTTAATTTCGGATGAATTTTCTCAAAACTGAAGGTTAGTATAGACCATTAGCCTCCACCTTCAGCATACAATCATACACTTTAGGTAAAAAAAATTTACAGTATCACATATAGTTAAACAATATAAGCAGAGTTGTTTAACAGCAGAACATTGGGAATCTTATAAATGCCAGCACTGTGACAATACCAGTAAACTATAAAAGACTAAACGATAACTTATCACAAAAAACCTTTGAAGAATGCACTAAAAAGAAAAAAAAGCTCTATTAAAATGTATCATACGCAAAATCTATCACTCAGCTAACCTAATACGTAATATATTTGTAACCCTCAAAATTTAGATCTGTGCCGTAATAAAAAATCAACAAGACATCAGTAAATAACTGCAAAAAACAAAAAAAAAAAAAATTTGAAATCTTACCTGTATTCCAATTATAATTCAACGTAAAAAAA